ACACACACACACACACACACACACACACACACACACACACACACACAATTTACCTTTACACTATCACCATAACTGTTGCCTAAGAAAGTAAGAAAACTATCAGACTTTTTGGCCCAGGATTAACAGGTACATCTGAGCCATCTGAAGTGTGTTATAGGAAGCAAACTTGGGTACACAGCAGCAGTACTACTGAGTCCAAAGTCCACCCCCCCAAATATGTCATTATAATGGAGATGAAGATGCCCCATTACTCCTTCTATCACCTGCAGGTGATGAAAATTCCTGCTACATGATCATTGAAGGATTGAATGTATTTCTATCAATCTGTGAATGGACTTTGTAGACTGCTTCTCATTGTCAATGTTTACACAGTTCTCTTGATGTGAATGAAGACAACAAAAGACTTAAATATGTAGAGATGAGTCCAGATTATGTTATCGAAAGTTCCATAATGTGATAAACTCTTTAAAAAATGATTACTTTTATTTTACATACATAAGTGCTTTGCCTGGATGCAGGAGCCTCACAAAGTTAGAGTTCTAAGTTTCCATGTGGGGGCAGGGACTTGAAGCTGGATCCTCTGAAACAGCCAGTCTCTTAATCTCTGGGAAACCTTTCCAGACCTTTTTTGTTGTTTGTTTGTTTTTTGAGACACAATCTCTCTACATAGCTATGGCCATCCTGGAACTCGCTATGTAGAGCAGGCTAGTCTCAAACTCAGAAAGCTCCATCTGCACTTGGAATATACATATATATGTATATAATTATTATATTCTGACTTGCTGGGGATTATATGCATGCACAACTCCACCCACTTAAGACATGCTTTAAAGATGACATATCTATGAGTAAGAGAAAGATAATGTAAGATTTGAACAAGAACCCTTATTGCTTTGAACAGTAATGCTTCTTGGAATTTTACACTGTATTAATTAGAACTGGCAAATCATGGCCTATGTTCCCATTATTTTGGTTAATTTCTTTGCTTTGTTAATTTCATCTCTGTAAAACTTTTTAACTGTGTGTATGCACCTGTGCAATGGTGTACATGTGCCAGTTAGAGGAGAACTGACAGATGTCTATTCTCTAATTCCTCTATGTGAGAAGAAATAAAACCTAGCTAGTCAAATCTGGCATCAAGTACCCTAAACTGGTGGATGAACACACCATCATTTTGGTTTCAACAATATTTATGTTATGTCCTGTGTGTGGACATGCATACAACCCAAGTGTAGCATTCACAGAAAAACTTGCCTGATTAATGTGGGTATCCAAGAGAATGAACTCAGGTCATCAAGCTTAGCAGCAACCACCTTTACTCCCTGAGACAATCTTCTGGCATTCATTTGTGTTTCTGAGAAAGTGTTAAAAACAAGTTCTCAGAATAAACTGTTAGTGTTAGTTTTAAAATTGTGTGTTGCATTTTCTCTCTTAGCCTGGCTAGTACACAAATACTTGAAGACCAGGCAGCTACATTTATTTACCGTGCTTCAAGGCACAAAACTACATTATTTCTTTATTCTTAACCCTCTAAGCTAATCTGACTCCCTCTTTGCCAAAACCCTTTTTTATCCATTGCATTTTATGGCTTTCTCTGCTCCAGCTGTTCTCTCTCATATTTCCTGGACCTCTCTGCCTGTGGCAAAATCCCCAATTCCTCTTTCTCTCTTCTCCTCCCATGGCTGGTAGGAAATCCAGGCTTAGCACTTGACTGTTAAGCTGCTTTATTGACACAGCAGAGGACAATTAAGTAAAGTTTCAAAGGTAGATTCTCATAACAAGGAGTGCAACCAGACATGGGGGCACAGAAATCAGCATTTGAATTTTTACAACGTACACAATAACATTACACCTGTAACAAATTATCAAGACAAAAAGAATACATGGAAAAATATCAAATTCATTTACAAATAGATTTTATTATTCAAACTGTCCTGTATTGTAATTTTAGATGACAATATATCTACAGTTTGAAAAGTAGACAATATTTTAATGATGGCATGAATCTATTAATCTTATTTCAAGCACCAGTGAGAGCGCTCAGTGTGGAAAATGAATGAGACAGTCAAGACTATACCTCATTTCCTAGATTCCTGGGGGATTTTTTGTAAGTATGAATTCTTTTATGCTTTTGTAGAGTACTGAGACAGGCAAAGGCTTTACCACACTGATTACATTGATAGGGTTTCTCTCCAGTGTGAATTCTTTCATGATTTTGAAGATAACTCTTACGTGCAAAGGCTTTACCACACTGATTGCATTTATAGGGTTTTTCTCCAGTATGAATTCTTTCATGTATTTGAAGAGTACTGTGACAGGCAAAGGCTTTACCACAATGATTACATTCATAGGGCTTTTCTCCAGTATGAGTTCTTTCATGCTTTTGAAGATTACTACGACATGCAAAGGCTTTATCACACTGATTACATTTATATGGCTTCTCTCCAGTATGAATTCTTTCATGCATTTGAAGATAACTGGTACATGCAAAGGCTTTACCACATTGATTACATTTATATGGTTTCTCTTCAGCATGAATTCTTTCATGATTTTGAAGATTACTACGAAATGCAAAGGCTTTACCACATTGATTACACTTGTAGGGTTTCTCTCCAGAATGAATTCTTTCATGCATTTGAAGATAACGGTTACGTGCAAATGCTTTACCACACTGATTACATTTATAGGGTTTTTTTGTAGTATGAATTCTTTCATGTATTTGAAGAGTAGTGTGACATGTAAAGGATTTACCACATTGATTACATTCATAAAGTTTCTCTCCAGTATCAATTCTTCCATGTATCTGAAGGTAACTGGGATATGCAAAGGCATTACCACATTGATGATATTCATACTTTTTCTCTGTAGTATTAGCTCCATTTACTTGTAGACAACTATGACTCCCAAAGACTTTATCTTCTTGATTGTATTCATAGGACTTCATTTCCAAATGAGTTCTTTGTTGTAATTCTAAGGAGGCTTTATCATATTGATTATATTCATGGATATCCTCTTCATTATAGGTTGTCTTGTGTACTTCAAGATATACGTGACGGTTAAAGCTTTTACTACGTGGCTCACATTTATCACTTCCTTTTTCCATATGATTTTTTTCACATCTTTGAAGAGAACTGGAAGAAGCCAGAGCTTTCCCACACTGATTGCATTCATAACAATTTCCTATAGTATGAGTCACATTACATGTGCAAAGTGAACCAGGACAGACAGAAGATCTTCCACATTCCTTGTACTCATATGGCTTTTTACCAGTGTCAATATTTTGATGTATTCCCACTGAAGCTGGATAACCAATTATTTGTAAACTTGTATCACATTCACCTCTTCCTCTCAGAGTGGGGATGACTATATATCTTCTAATTTTTCTGGGAGAGAGAGAAGTACTATGCTTCTTTCCATATCCAGAGGGACATTTGATATAGCTATTAAAGGAATAATAACAAATAAAAGATGTTCAAATGGTATTCACACAGTTTAACTTTTTATTTCTTAAAGACATATGATATAGATTCAAAAATTCTCCACCACAACAACCTTCTTGACTCTCATAAACTACCCCTCACTAAACTATGCTAAGTCATTACAAATATATGGGTAATACTAGCTTTACTATTGACAATTTGCTTATAACAGTCTTGGACATACATATATTTCCTAGTCAATGTATTTACCCTTTCTGACACTTGAGATGTATAAAACTAAGTAGATGAACAGTTCTACAACACGGTACTCATATGGCTAAAATTAATTAAAATCTGTTTAAGACCTTGTTTCTTGTTTCTGAAAGGAATACTTTGCAGCTACCTGACATTGAGGTATAAGGTATTCTGAGCATATAATAAACCTCACAATTCTATGTTTGTTTAACACAGCATTATTTTTTCATTAAAACTTCTGGGTACATTAAAATTTCTTCAGATGCACATATGTATCAGCTTGTACATGAAAATTACCTTCTATGTCTTCTAGAACTTTGATAATGTTCAATATTCCGGTCTTCCCATTTGTAGCCTAAAATACAGTACCAGAAAATGTATGATATATTACTGGAAATGACACAAAATTTAAAATTATTATCTTTGGAGAACCTTAGAACAATGCTTGATTATTTCTTTCTCTTTCAAAATCAAAATCAGAGAACAGCATCCATCTCTAAGAAACGCTTGTCCCCTTAAGTTAAAGAGTGAAGGAAACTTCACATTATTACCTATACAAGTAAGGTTCCAATAGGTTTCCAGCATCACATCTTTGTAGAGATTCTTCTGAGAGGGATTCAGCAAAGCCCACTCTTCCTGAGAGAAGTTCACATGCACGTCCTCAAAGGTCACTGCATCCTAAAGTATACCACAATATGCATGTATATACATATATATGTATATAAATATAATAAAGTATGCATATATGTGTAATAGAAGTGGTGACACCAACTGCATTGTAAATGTATACTTCATTTAAAATATATTTACATAATTCTATGTGCTCAACAAATCAATTCTATGTCACAGAATTTTAAATGCAAATTACCAACAGAAAAGGAAAATCACATCTCTCATTTCTGTGCATACCGGACAGAATATGCCATTGCAGAAGAAAGGCCTACTAACATATACAAAGAGACACAGAAACAGAGCAGCATTGTTGAGGATACATCAGCAAAATTCTATCAAAATTACTAAATTAAAAAATAAAGAGAAAATATGGGTACAGTGGTGCTTATCTTTAATCCTGGACCTCAGGAGGCAGAGAAGAGTGAGTTCCAGGTCAACCTGATCTTTGTAGCCAAAGGTACCTAATGAGACCCTGTCTCAAATAAATAAACAAAAAAAGCACATAGGGCACACTCAAAATTCCTCCAAAGACTTAAACGTTCACTTCAGAAATGTACTATTGTCTATCAGAAAACTGGAGTGACCTTGTATAAACTGTAAGGCTAATATGATATTCTTATGAAAAAAAGTACTTTTAATAAGTTAGTGACTCACGGATCAAAGAGTTCTCAAAAAGATTAATAAAGTAAATGATGATATTAAGAAAATAAAGCATCAATACCATCAACAAAAAGCAAGTGGCTATATAAAGATGATGCTACAATTATGATCACTTGTTGCTTTTGTAGAGGACCAGGGTCAATCTCCAGCCCACACCATTCCTAACTCTAGGCAGAATCCAATGCTCCCTTCTGACTTCAGTCAATACCAGCCTTTCATGTGGTTCCCATCTATGAATATACGCAAAAGACTCATGCTCATATCTTAAAAAAATTAAAAACATACATAAGGCTAGGGAGAATTGTTACAAATCTGCAATTCATTCTGGAGATCAGTATTAATGTCGTCCATGCATGTCATCCTGGTATAAAAAAATTATACCCTCTGCCAAAGTTCAAAAGTCAAAATGTGGGTAAAGCTCAGCACAATAACAAATGGTAGGCACACAGAAAAAATCTAATCTTATAAGATTAAATATAAACATAAAAATACCAGGCAAGAAAAAATGGCTTTTTAAAGAAAAGCAATTGCTTCTATTTTACCATACATTATCTACAGATGGAGTCTGTAATGGTGGTGATGGCTATATGAGAATGTGGCTATATGGGAAGGGGCTGCTCAGTCTCAACCATACAAAAAAAGACAAGTGTGATGAAGGTGTTAAAACTCAAAGCCCATTCTCAGAGACTAAATTCCTCCAGAAAGCATCTTCCTCCTAAAGGTACCATAAAGCACCCAAATGAAGACCACAAACCAGAGACAAATGCTCAAATACATCATCACATCTGAGAGATTTTTTCATTCAACTTACCACATTTTCACACAAGTCATGATAGGCTCACCCTCGGCCCATAATGAAATAAGCATTTATCCTAATTTCAAAGATCTCCATATTATCTCACAGTCCCAACACTGTTGAAATGTCCAAAGTCTCTTTTTAACACTAAGGCAATCTTTTGACTTTGACATCTTGTAAAATCAAAACACAAATTATATCTTCCCAACACACAGTGGCACAGAATATACATTTTCTTTGCAAAGAAGGAAAGATTGGACCAAGGCAACCTTGAAACCCTGCTGGGCAAACACCCAATCCTGCAGCTCAGTGTCAGACACCTGGGGATTCACTTCAAAGGGCTTAGATGGCTCTTTCTGCAATGTCTTATACTCCTTGCTCTTTGCCTATTTCCACTCCCTACATGTATATATTCTTGGCAGGTGTCTCAAAGCTTGGGTATCTCAACATGTTGAGATATGCAATCCAGGCTTTACCATCATGGATTCATGCAATGACTTCTCCCAGGCACCTCACAGTGGGTCACCTCACTTACCAGACAGATGGCTGAAACAGTGCTGAATACATAGGGGAAGTATAGATGACCCTTAAAATTTGTATCTTTCTTCTTTTAAGGAAAAGATGATAAAATCACAAGGAGTTCTAGCTTTGGATGGACCTTACCTCACTGAAACAAAGCAGCATCAAGTTCTGCATGGAGTTGCTTTCTGGGACTAGGAATCACCTTGTCTTTTTCTTCCATAGTTAAAATGTTTTGCTAGGTATTGCAGTACACTTACAACACATAATTCTCTATGTCCAAAGAAGAGCAGGTATCTTCTCTCTAATGGTCCTAACATCCCTGATAATTGCTGTCTGTTTCAGCACATGGTTGACATCTGAATTTACCTACAGGTCTTTTTACTTACAGACCACACAGGTTTTATTAATCTATGGCTCCATTGTTAGTCTTTTCTCTATGAGTCAGGAGTCATAACTGCCACAGAGTGACTGTTTAGTCTAGAGATCAGTCCGTTACTCTTTCATTTAGCCTTAATTGATTTCACAAGACATGCACAGAAAGAGAAATTTCACAATATTACACAGCCTGCCTTAGTAACTGCTCTATTGCTCTGAAGAAGCATTATGACCAAGGCAACTCTTACAATGGAATACTTTTGTGATAGATTATAGTGACAGAAGGGTGCTCCATTATCATCTTGAAATGAAGCATCATGGTTGGCAGGCATGGGGCTGAGTGTTACATCCTGATACACAGGCAGGAAGAAAGAAACATTTGTCTTGCCCTGGTCTTCTAAAATCTCAAAGCCCACCTAGAGTGATACACCTAAACAAACAAGATAAACCTATGCTCACATGGGCATACCTCTTAATTTTACACAGTTAGTACTACTAAATACAGACCAAGCATTTAAAAATAGAAGAGTTGTGAGGCTGTTGCACTAATATAAGCCATGACAGTAATATAACCTAAGGAGAAAAGAGCTCTAAAGAAAAAGAGTGAAAGATACTAATAGAAACAGAGAAAAAGAGAAAAAAAAAAAAAAAGAGAGACAGACAAAAGAAAGAAAATACTGGCTTCCACAATATAATGTGTGAGATAAGACATACGGATGGACTCAACTGTCTCTGCCTGAGGCCACAGAAATCTTTCCTCTGTTCTTTAGCTGTGAGGAGTCTACCTGCCTAGACCATGCCATGGGTACCATCTCCTCCTGTATTCACGCTAACCTCTCAAAAGTGTCTCTATAAAGAAAAGGCTGTAACACTGTACATTCAATGTTTGAGAAGTGTAGATCCAACTGGAACTTGTGTCTGATGGAGGATAGGGTGGCCTTAGCAGGGAGTTGAGCTAACTAACCTTAGGCAGAAAGCAACTGTAAAAGGAACTTTTATTTGCCTGCTTCAGTTGATGTTTTGAAGGCTTACTGCCTCTATCTATCTAGGCCTATTCCTGGACTCTAGCCTCCACACAATCTAATCTAGGCCTAAAATGTTTTAGGGCCTGTGAGACTTACTGCTGAATAAGCTCAGGCTTTCTTGTTCATTCTGAGCTCATAGCTGACTGGTTCAACTCAGCTGTTCTGGCTCAAACTCTTCTCAGAGCTGACTTATTCAATCTGGTTTTTCTCTCAGCCTCTGAATTGCTATGCTTAGCCTCAACCTAACTCCAGCAATCTTTTTCAATCTTCTAACTCCTCATTCTCTGACTTGTTCAGTCTTCACCTGTGTCTAGCTTGTTCTCTCATTCAACCTCTCTCTCTGTAAAACTTTCCCTGTAAAACTGCCTTCTCCCTCTTTCTCTGCATTATCCCTTAAGTAGCTTCTCTTTCCTCTCTTTTCCTGAGAGTTGGGCTTATCCTATTCTGTCAAGTCTTCTTGGATTTGTCACTTTCTTTTTTGCCACTCAATTGACATCACTTTCAAACATGGCCGCTTCCTCCTACAAACTAACTTTACCTTCATTGTTTGGGATTAAAGGCGTGTACCATCACACCCGGATCTTTGCTTTTTTTTTTAACCCCAAACTTGCTCTATACCAGGCTGGCCTTGAACTCAGACCTGCTTGCCTCTGTCTCCTGGATTAAAGGCGTGTTTGGATTCCAGCAGGATCACACAGACTTAGAAGGTCTTTGGATGTGATCTGTGGCCAGAGTAGCCTAGCTCTGAATTAAAATTACTCTACAAGCAACCATGTGGTTTGCTGCCATCTTAAATAATATGTCAATATTATATTACAACAATACGGAATGTGAGCTATAGAGTCAACAAATGTCCAAAGAAAATTGTAACAATTTATTCTACCAACAACAGAAAACATGAAAAATCATGAATGAAAAAAATGATCACATACAAGGTTAGAGAAATACTAAATGCAGTGACATCCTATGACTTCAAAACTTTGAACTGAATACAACTTCAATAAAAAAGAAAAAAATACAGAAAGAGAAAAAATAGAGACAGACAAAAGGAAGAAAATATTTTCTTCAACTCCTTTGAATGGGTTACAGGCTTCCTTAATAAGAACAATTAAACAACTGGAGCCTCTAAACTGAGATTTAAGGATGTGTCTTTTCTCTGAGTGCACGGTATTACCCCTTGTTTCCCTCCCCACCCAGTTCACTCAGGGAACCGGAAAAACCTGTCTGTTCTGTACTGTCTGGGAAAGAATAAAGAGATCAACAACATGAGAGCATAATTAGAGGGAAAGAAAGAAATAACACAATTAAAAGAGTAAATGTTGACGAACGAGGCAGGAAACCCAGGAAGTCTGGCCTTACTAACACACGGGACTGGACCACCGCGGCATCTACATGCAAATGTGTTAATAACACAGACTTTCCACCCGCACAGAATTAACTGCGGACGGAGCCGACACCTGAATGTCAGTGCAGAGCTTCTAGACGACACTGGAGAAAGAGCTCTGCGAGTCAGCACACCTGCTTCCCTGCAGACAGTAAAAGCGGCTGAGGCTCGCTGCACGGTGACGTCGGCAACAGGAAAGTTTTCACGCAAGGCTCCCTAAGCCCTGAGGACGCGCAGCCAGGGGAACCAAGTCACTCAGAAGTTCAACTTCCCCCTCGCGGAGGCGCAGTGACCTCACGGGGCCCCGCTTCCCGTCCCCGCCCCCGGAGCGAACCCACACGGGCTCCCGCGGCTCCTCCCCGCGTGCGGACGGCGGCCCCGCTCACCATGGCGCGGACTCCGAGCTCTCCCTGCTCTCTTTGGCTCCCGGCAGCGGCTCACAGCGCGGCTCTCCGGAATATCTCAGCCTCCCTAGGTACCTTAGCCGAGCTTTAAGTTAAGACCGACCGGAAGTGCCCTCCCCGTTCTGACTGGCGGGTCCGTCTAGAGGCCCTGATTGGCTAGTGAGCTCTGAGTGACAGGAACATCTCTGGGACAGAGTGCTGTGAAGTGTCAGAGCGCGGTGTTTCCCAGCCATGGTCTACACTTCAGTCACAGAACTGTCCCAAATCTGCCAAGACTGACATTGCAGTAAAACTTGGGCTAGCTACCGTACGGACAATCCCACGAACCTAATCTCAGGACCTAAAAACGGCTTACGTCAGCATCTGTCGCCATCACCTACGGCCGCCGCCGAGCGCCCAAGGTTCGCCAGGTGTGTTCGGCCAGAGAAAAGGACCCGCCCGTCATCCCAGTTCTTTCTCTGTTCCTTGAGCTCGGTCCCAAAGTTTCCCCCTCGCTGCCTTCGTGGCTCTGCTCCCTGTCTGTCAGCCTCTGTCTCTTCCCCAGATCTCACTTCTCTCCCCTCCCCAATAATCCTTTTACACCAGATGCATATTTAAGCTCCTGGAGTAATTTCTCAGGGGCACACGTTGGCTCGGCTTGCAAAAGGTACACCCCCGTCCCTCTCCCCCACCCCCGCCGCCGCGTATTTCATAACAGCGCCTGGACTGTAGTCCCTGCATTACTCCTGCAATCATTAGTAGGCACTGCTTCTTTGTCTAGGTACAAGGTCTCTAGCCTATGCCGAGCATTAAACAACGTGAAAAACAGTGATCCCCACTTGCCCCACAGCTGAAAGGGCGCAAGTCTATCCAGATCAGAGCTAAACCACCTGATTGATAGTCACCAGGCATTAGCAATTTAAAAAAGGCTCAAAGGATTGTTCACACCTCTCAGCTGAACAATGGTAGCCAAAACACAAGTTCCCAGCCTTCAGTGGTAGCACTGGCTCATGCCAGCACTTGGGACATCAAAGTTTTAAACCTGATACACAGAGTGAGTTCCAGGACAGCTAAAGCTACGAAAAGAAACACTGTCTTTATAAACCTAAACAGGGAGGAAAAAAAAAAGAATAAAAAAGTAAAAAAGAAAGTTTAAATCAGTTTCGTTTATGACACCAAACACCAACTATTAGAGATCCCCAAAATGAGGTGACCAGGAGGAGGACATAGGATTAGAAAACAAAAATAGAAAATTTGGCATCATTATGTCTTGCATAACCTGATGGCTCATGTTCAGCAAGTTTATTAAGACAGACAGCTCTGATACACTATTTATATGTGGAGAATAAGATGTCATCAGACAGATAATTTAGCAAAGATGGCAGAACACCTCAGAGTGAGCACACAGTGGCCATGAGACTGATCACCACAGACTCTCAGGCTGAAGAGCCTGGTTCCCTTGACTCCTTCAAGATGCTTCCTCCAGCACCAGACCAGAAGTTTCCAAGTCTACCTTTAGACAAGACAAAAAAGTAATATTCTCTTGGTGCCTTCATCAGAGCATCTGAGAAAACCTTGGATAGTCTTGGCTCCCAAAAGGCTTACCTTTAACCTAAACAAATACGGAAACAAAAGAAACAATGAATGGAAAATTAGGACTTAGAAAGAAAGACTAGTATAGGTTGGAGAATCAGTCCACATAACAGGGAATGAGAAAGTACTGACGACACAAAAGGTTGATTTTTAAAAACCATAATTGAAACACTTTAACTAAATTACTTTTTGAAAAAAAGCAGACTCAACTTGCTAATTCCCCACATGAATTTAGAGCTTTGAGTGGAGGTCCAGTCCCAGAATCCCACCACATGGAGGGTTGAGCCAGGAGCATCGCTAGTTTAAGTCCTGGTATTGCTACAAACTGAGTTGACAGAATACTTGGATAACTTAACCAGATCCCACCTCAAAATAACTTTTGTTTAAAGCTCAGTAGACAGATGCTGGCCAAGCATGGGATGGGTTCTAGAATGAGTGCCTGGTATTTTCTACCCCCAAAATGGAAATAGAGTACTACAACCAATGTACTGGAATAGGTGGGTTAGAAGGAAGTGCTGTAACAAGAGCCAGCTAGTTGGCTCAGAGAGTAAAAGCGCTTGCAACCAAATCTGAGATCCTTGGGCCAATACCCAGGGGAAGAGCTGTTTCTCCAAGTTGTCCTCGTACCTTTACACATGTGCTGAGGGATGTGTCTTCACACATGTCTTCATGGTACAAATTCAGAATTTGTCAAAAGAAAACTGAGAATAATATGAGAAACAAAAACAAATAAACAACAACAAAAAACCCCTAATAGAACAACAAACAAATCTAGAAAAACATAATGGTTGTGTTAGTATAACCATTGATCAATACAGAACTCCTTCACAACACTGTCAGGATGACAATAGGAAGGAAAGCATTCACAGTTAACTTCATACCAAGTTGTCAAATTATCTCTTCACAGCTTCCTTAGGGTAACATGGGAACAACGGAAGAGTATTTCAGAGAAATACTTACCTTTTGGATTGAACAGCTACCTCTAGTCTGAGTTGTCAAAGAAAAACAAACGACAAAAAGCAAAACAAAAAAAAATTGCAGTAAAATGAGTAAGAATCATAAACCCAGGGTCTGTCCAACCACACCCTTACCACAATGCACTTCTAAGGTACACTGCAAGTCCTGTCTCTGTGGTATGGATTTTTGCCTCAGGCCTTCTCAGGCAGTGCTTACACGGCATCCAGAGTGAAAACAGTCTGTTCTGTGGCCTTCAGCTCTTTACTGTGGGCCCTTCTCTCCCTGAGGACCTGGGAGTTCAAGAGAGGCCTGTTCATCTGAGCAGTGTCTCCCCTAGGGGCTAAAGTGCTGGATGCCATGTGTGAGTTCTCCACACTGCTGTCCTATGTTACTGTGATCTCCACATAGGTGCTAAGTATATGGCAACCACCCATGGCCAACCTCCTACTGTGCTGTCGCATACATGTAGGACAGGCAGGAGAGGGTTTGGCTGCATGCCTTCCATCTGACAGATCTCACTCAACAGTCTCAAGATTCACCACCAAGAATTGTCATCATGCTGCTTTGTCTTATAGCCTCCAGGCTGTAAGACTTCAAAACCCAGGACAGGCCACTCCTTCCTGCCAGCCATGCAAGTGAGCTACTCAGGGTCTTTCTTGCCTGGTAGGTGAAGTGATATCCTGCTTCTTTCCTGCCCTGATGTTGTGCTCCTAAGCCTCAGCACCTGAAGCACTGACTACAGAAAGCTAGGAATGACTCAATATTGGACCGACCTCCCTTCCCAAGATCTGCAATCTTAGGAAAATGTATGTGAAGTCAGGGGTTTACTTAAAAGAGTAAGTGTCTGGTCTGGAAGGCCAACGCTGCCCCCAAGCCTTTTGTAACACAATGGCAGCCTACAGAGTGAGGTGAGGGCTCCCACCATCCCACCAGGAAGAAAAATATGGTGGCTTGAACCTCTGCCACCTGCTGAATTAGACCTCAATTCTGACCAGCCTCTTGGGGACTGTGGACTCATTTCTGAGGCATTAGTCTGGTCTGGCTAAGAAACTGAGAAAGAACAAAGGAATCCTGCCTGGTTTTTGGATAGCCATACCCCAGTCCACATGTGAGAAACCCACTTTGATAGTATTTTTGGTAAAAAGAAAGTTTGATTTAAAAATATGTGCCAAAAATCTGTAATCTTTTAATCTATTCTTCTATTGAAAATGATCACCAATGTAAATACAGGATTTTAGTCAATTCAACCCTGAGGGATCAAAGTATAAGTTTTTTATTTAATAACTCCATATTTCTTATGGAGCCACTTAATTCTCTCTCTTTCTCTCTTCTCTCTCTCTTCAAAACAGGGTTTCTCTGTGTACTCTTACCTGTCTTGGACTTGCTTTGTAGACCAGACTGGCCTTGAACTCACAGAAATCTGCCTACCTTTGCCTCCCTGAGTGCTGGAATTATAGGTGTGTGCCACCTCGCCTTAATCCTCTTAATATTCTCATGAATACATTATACATATTTTATTGCCTACTTAATCTTACTTATGAGAATTTACATATGAACCGTCATACTTATTTTTCCCTCAATCTTACATCATTAGGGAAAATAAAGTAAACCAAATTAAGCGTTAAGTTTTTTGGTTTGGTTTTTTTTGAGACATGGTTTTTGGTGTAGTCCTGGCTGTTCTGGAACTCACTCTGTAGACCAGGCTGGCCTTGACTTCCTCTGCCTCACAAGTGCTGAGAAAGAATTTTAACATTATGCTCTTACTATTTTATTTTCTTACTCAGGTTCTCACTCAGTAACTCTGGCTGAACAGCAACTCACTATGAAGACCAGGCTAGCCTTCCAATCATAATGATCACTGACTCTGCTGCAGAGTGCTAAGATTAAAGTACACGTATCACCACCCCTGACTTGTATTAATTCTGCATATTTAGTCACCAAATAGAAAGAAGCTAACTGTGGTTCATAATTGTAGTCTGAACTGAAGACACCTTGGCAGGAGGATCACCAAGAGGGTTGGGTAGGCCTGGGTTATAATCCAGACACTATCTCAAAAAAGCAGTGGCACAGCATGAGCAGACTGTTGCCCCACTTTTTAGGCCATTAGTGTAAGTATTTATCCTGGAGTTCCCATGGAAACATGGCATCATGGCCATGTCCCCGAGTCCACGTTCCACTTTTTTGACATCTGTGACTGTCATCTGTGAAGGTGCTGAAGCAGCAGCCAGCGGCAGTGGCAATGGCATGACGAATCTCCATCCAGCTGCTTTCCTGCTACCTCCACTGCTTTTGTGGAGGAATTTTATCTTGTGTCCTGCTTGCAGGCCTTCAGGTTTCCTTGAATGGCAAGTTCAATCACACTATCTCATTTCTGGCTCAGGTAATCTAGATCCAGCCTCCTTATTTCTGCCTGAACAGCAGGTGGAGTCACATGCTAATGGTGATTATAGAATGGATGCACAGTTGTTGATAGCTCCTGATGGGCCCGAGGTACAAGTGGAA